CAACTTTCAAGTAAAATCAAATAATTTTTAATTTTATAGTCCGCCATATTGACTCCGCCATTTTGAATTTTCAAAATTTTGAAAATCTGATTCCAGATTCGTAATCAGCGATCCCGAAAACCATAGGTACACGGAAAGAAAAAGTCCGTCAACCATTAATGGATTAGTATATTACTTTGAGACGGGACTCTTTTTCCGTTGATGGTTGCTTAACTTTACTTAACGATTGAAAACGAGTCATGGATTGATTAGAATGCCAGTATGTGACCAATTGTTTTAGATTTAATGCTGAATTGTTATCAATGGCTGTTTGAATGTTTACGAATCATTAGTGAAAGTTTGTGAAACGTTAGTTGACTCGTATTCTAAATCGGCGCTCTTCACTAGCGCATTGTTGCGCAGTGTACCGATGCGCATTTCTTCCGGTTTCTCTATAGTCCATGTGTTTTTGCTGTCTGCTATACATATCCCTATATACTATTATGTGTAATGTGAATATTTAACTTAACTAACAATTTGCAGTTGAATTGCGTCTAGAAATTGACCTCGATGAAAATATATTTTCTTTTATATTTCTCGCCAATTAAAAAGTAGTTATTAGTGCAAAATCATTTCTCACAAGTTGTGAAAAATTTTGTTATTTGGTATATAAGAACAGTTCGCTTCTAAACTTAAAGTGTTATAAGTGTGCGTTTCTACGTGTAGTTATTATAAGTGCGAAAATGAGTTGGTCTTAAGCGTCTAAGAGTGTAAATAAAATATCGGAACTGTGCAACGAAAAAAATGTGTTCATTCTGTACCAAATAGTGTCTAAAATTAGGGATAATTCTGAAAGAAGTTGAATTTTTTGAATGCTTTTGATAGTCATAGAAAATTTAATAGACAGTTTTCTAAATTTTAGTGAACGAGTTTTATATATTGATGACAGTTTTCTAAATTTTAGCAAGCAACTCGTCACTGATTGTGACTCAAAGTATGTTATCCATTCAATGATTTTGTGTCCCGTCTCAAAGTAATATACTAGTCTATTAATGATTGACGGACTTTTTCTTTCCGTGTACTATACCTATTGTAGATATTTTTCAATTGTCCTAATTATTGGACTTAAAGGGTTAATTTTAAAATTTTTATGTCCGCCATATTGGATCCGCCATTTTGAATTTTTGAAATCTGACATCAGATTCGTAATCAGCGACACATAAAACCGTTAAATACCACTGTTCATCATAATTGATTAATTTTGAAAATTGTCTTTATATACACGGAAAAAAAAAGTTCCCAGATATTTCAGGAATTATTTCCTAACTCTTGGATACGTGGTAACAGCTCTGAACTAGCGTCGAACATTCAATGGTAATCAATGAATGTTTAAAAGAAATTCGGGAACTGTATTAGAAAACGCTGTAAATAGTCCAATAGTCTTTTTTTCATTTCTTTCTCATGTAAAGTCCATGGCACTGGCCGCAACTGTTTCTGAAATTTTCGGGAACTCGTCAAGGAATGTGCGTTTCGAATGTGCAGTTTCGTGCGCAGAAACTGTGCGCACCAGTCTCAACGTCAGTAAGACTTGCGTGCCTTATATATTTATTTTATGCTGAGGTATTTAACGCTCCTGTTTAGCTCACGTGGATAAGACGCCGGACTTCTATTCCTCGGGTACGCGAGTTCTGTTCCAGCCGCCGTCGATTTTTCCCTCATACGGTTTTTTCTATTTCAGAAACTTAATAAAAAATAAAAATTGTATGTGATCTTCAAGGATAAATGTGTGTGTGTGTGTGTGCGGACGTGTCAAGGAGGGGAAGTGGGAGGGGGGAAGCAGAATCCATTTTTTCTTGCATTCGCCTAACTTTTCGATTTTCTTGAACAGTTCCCGACTTTTTCAAGAACAGTTTGCCGAGAAGTGGTGAAATAGTTATAATTTGTAGAGAAATAGTAAATGACATATTTAAACGAGGCAACCTTTAGTTCTCTGTGAACTACCCGCCGTATCCAAGAGTTAAGAACGAAGTTCCCGAATAATCTTCGAACTTTTTTTTTCCGTGTATTTATTGCATATATTTATATGTTTATTGCAATATTCTTTTTATGTTGAAAAAATATGAAAAGGCGCAAAATGGCACATATTGGCGTCAAAGTATAGACATGCTAAGTAATCGTTCTATAACTTGTTTTTCTAAATATTATGCGGCTCGTAGGAGCTCGATTAACTGAAAGTCGGCACTCTATTGAAAAATCCACTATTTGTTAACTTCAATGGAGCTACATTTTAATAAATTTCCTTTTTTTGAAGTAACTATAGGTTTTTTTACTTCAATATATCTGTTGATGAGAAAAAATAAGTACTTATACAAAAATAATTTATTTATTTCTAGATATACCCGTGTAGAAATCACCATGCTATGCCTAAAATGATTATTGGCCCTAGCTTGGACCTAACTTGGCAACCCCTTTTTATATATCCTGGGCTGGTCCTAACTTGGTACTAGCTAGGAGATCCAGTTATGACTTAGAAAAATTTTTAGGAAAATAAAGAGTCAAAATTGATACATGAAAAACATGTAAAAATTGATAAATATTCTTAATTAATATTTATAAAATTAATTGATAATCATATTTGTTTAAACAATTTATTGTTTGACATAAATCAGAAAGTTATACAAATACTATAAAATAAAGTTAATTTTCAAATTATTATTTATTAATTCAGCAATTGTTTAAACAAATAATTGTTATTTACTAACTTTTTACACAATCAACCTAGAAACTAGCAGTTTTTTCTAATTTTGCAATAAGTAAATACTCAGATTAGTTAATTGCAAAATTTTAAAAGACTACAAAGTGTCTAGGCGCTTTATTGTCTTAAAAATTAATAAATAACAACAATTTTTTGTTTAAACAAATGCTGAATTGTTAAAATTATAAATTATCTTCATATTTCACTACTCAAGTGTAATAATCGCGAAGTTAGATAAAAAACTGCAAATTTTTAAGTAATTTGTTACAAAAGTTAATAAAACAGCAAAATTTATTTATTTATTTAAACAGATACAGACTGCAATATAATTATCATTAGGAAAATATATTTCTAATTTCGTTCGCTGATTTTAAGTTTCGTTTAAGTTGGTGCTAAACACTAAGAGATATTGCAATTCGAATGTGGGCTGACCCACCCAGGTCCAACCCAGGACCTACCTGGGCTTCCTAGTTTCATTAGCAAAAATTTCTAAGTCCAAGTCTAAAAAATTTTTTGCAACAAAAAATTAATGCTTAAAATGATTTAGAATAATGAAAAACGTGTTTTTAACATAAATTTTTTTGACATTTTTTTAAAAAGTGGATCACCCGCTTAATTAATTAGGAAAAATTTCTAAGTCCAAAAGACGAATATTTTTTTTAGACCAAGAAATTAATGTTAAAAATGATTGAGAACAATGAAAAACCTGTTTTTAACGAAAATGTATAGATATTTTTTTTCTTGATATAATATAAAAATATTAATTTTTGAATTTTTATATTTGGATATTATTTTATTATTATTGTTGTTGTTAAACTATTTTTTTTTATTTATTATTGTGTATTAGTGTCAATAATTACTATATTGAATCATCAAAAGCAAGTCCACAAGTCACTGACAATAAAAATTTTGATCTCAACTAGTTTCATTAGCATAGTGGTTAGGGCGTTAGTCTCGTAGTCCGTAGGTCGTAGGTTCGATTCCCGCGTGCGTTAGATTTTATTTACTTCTTAGGTTTGCGTTTATTCCGATTTTTCTGCATTGTATTCGTATAAGTATGCAATTTAATGATTATATATACTGTAAAATAATTTAATTAACAAAATTCTAATTTTTTTATAATTTTTAATGTATATATTAGAGGAATATATATTAATCTCTACATATACTAACATTATTTATGAATTCGCTTTTGGCCATCATTTAATTGAAAAAAATAATAATTAATTAAAACTAATACTTATTATTAATAATTTAGGTTATTTCTTTAGAAAATATTATAAACTAATTAAAATTATAATAAAATATATAAATAAACTGGTCCTAACTAGGCTCCCAAGTTAGGACCAGACTAGAATCGCATCACCAGCCATTGTTGGTCCAACCTACACTGCCAACCTAGGACCAAGCTATTAACAGGGCAAAATAGGTAGGACCTGGCTAGGACCAATTTTCATTTTCCACACGGGTATTAAGTATTTCAATCAAAAACATTTCATTATTTTATCTTAAATGTTAAACTTTAAATAGTTCTAGAAGACACAATTTTTTATTATTTAACAAATCCTTTATACAATAAATTCCTTATTTACTATTAAATACTGTGGATAAATTCTTTTGTGCATATTTGAAAGTTGAAAAATTGTATTTTTGGCCAAAATTCGACGATCCTGGCCCACTGTGCAAGTGCTCAATATTAATTCGATTAGTTCTCATTTAATCCTGACAAAATAAAATCATTATTAAATTTCTAATTAAATTCATTCGACATTGAAATTTTATAAAATTTCAAATTGAAACCGTTTGATGTTCATTTATTTATGAAAATTGTAAACGCAACTCTTTAAAATTGAATTAATTTTCAACTTTTTAAGAAAAATTATTCATTAAATAATTTATTTATTTTATGATAGTTGTTCAAGATTTAAGTTATTTGAAAAGAAATTTTTGTTAGAAATTGAAAAAATTGAAGGTTTTTTATTAGAATTCGTGATAATTTTATAGTTTATGAGTCAAACAAAAAAGACACAAAAATTCAGAATTTTCTTATGAATTCTAAAAATTGAATTTTTTAAGTAATTTTAATAAAAATTCCTGACTTTTCCCTGAATTCCATAGCTTTAAACGATTAATAAGTTTATAATATAATATAATAATAATAATTTATTCTTCTAACGTATTGTGTCTCAAATAAAAATTCAAGTAAATAATTAAAAATGTTCTCTCGTTCATTGAATATAACTGTTTAATATCATTGTATACTCACTCGTACGTAATTTGAATGGTATTTGAATTTTGAAATCCAGAGAGCGAACGAGGAATTCTGGTCCAATTCATGCTTCCAGGGGGCTGATTTCCTCTTTTTTCACCATATATTAACCCACATACGGGACACTGAATATAAATCGGATGTTTTTGATTGTGTAACATTACATTAAGACACGCCAAGTGCAATCTATGTCTACAGCGTGTCAATTCTACTGTTAATGGTTCTGGTGGTCCAAGACACACTGGACAAGAGTCAGATTCACCACTTTCCACAACTTTGACATATTGCGATATTACATCAGAAGCCATATCCACTCCTGCATTGTTTTGAAATTCTGTCATGATATAAATTTTTCTATACATAGATAGTAAGGGGGTGTTCAGAAAATTTGAATCAGGGTTGCCACAAAAATTTCATTTAATTTTTTCCTGATTTACAGACAAAATTTTCACTTTTTCCCTGACCCTAAAGAATATTTTGATTCACTCCAAAATGATTAAAGATACTCAAAAAAAATTTTTAATTCTTTGAGAATATTCTTTGCAGATATTCAAATCCACTTGCTTACAATTCAATTTTACGAAATTTTGATTATTCGGAAATTTTTCAATTAAATATATATTAGAAAATAAAAACTTTAAATAATTTTTAAAAAATTTGAATTGAACTTTTTCAAATCTACAGAATTGTTAATTAAAATTACGAAAAATTCAGATTTTCAAAGATTTTAATTTGAAACCTATTCAAAACTCAATTATTTATAAAAATTCATTCTAAAATGCTTCTAGAATTCAATTATTAATTAAATTTTAAACTAATTTTTATTAGGAAATTTTACGAGATTTCTACTATTTAAACACAAAAATAAATAAATATTGAATAATTGAATGGTTCTTAAAATTCAGTTCTTATAAAGAATTTTATCAACAGATTTTTAAATAATTGAATTCTTTTGACAAATTTTTATAAAATTTTTAAGAATAATTGCATTTTTCAAGGAATTTAATTAAAATTGTATTAAAAATAATTGAAATTCTGTGATGAGTTTTATTATTTATAAAGATATTTGAATTCCTAAAAAAAAATTTATTAATTATAAAAATAATTTAATCCCTGTAACAAATTTTTATATTTATGAAAATAATTTCCAAATATTCTGTCTTAGGTTTTGAAGGTACATACCTCAGGAAAATTTATCACTATTTACTTTGATGAAATTGCAAAGCATTTCTTTTAGACAAATATTAATTCTCAAAATAGGTCTGTGCAGCAAACCGGTCAGTTTGCAAAATTCTTTAAAGTTAACACAGCAATTAAACAATAAAATATAAAGTATAGGTGTCTTTAGGAAAAGTTGCGCATTTAAATGATCTTTCAGACAAGCGAAAGAAAAATTATATCGGTTGGTTCTTTTCGTCATAAAAGTAAAAAGGCTTTAGTATAGCCGGTTTACCCCACTCTCCCCTATGCCAACTTTTTTTTAAATATTTGAATTTTCTGTGAAATTATTATTATTTTGAAAATAATTGAATGTTTATGTAGAATTTTATTAAATTTTTTTAAATAATTGAATTCTATTGGAAAATTTCATTGAAACAGTAGATATTAAAAATCATTGAATTCAGAAAAATTTTTGAAAATACATAATTGAAATTTTTTATTTTTGAAAATAATTTAAGGTATTTGTCGCGAAAATTCGTTTTCGACAGAATTTTTTTAAATTTCACATAATTATTCTTTGGATATTTATCTACAAAATAAGGCCTATTAAAATAAAATTGACCGTCTGTAAGTCTCAAAAAATGAAATCAAAGTTTCGATTTTTAACATGTACGGTATAGGAAAACCATATGAAAACCACAGATTTTTAATTTTTGCACTTATACTAATCGACAGATTTTTTAGAAAAACTAAAGTTTTATTTATTGAACCAAAATGAACTTTTATAAAAAAATGAAAATTTTTCACCGTCTTGTTTAAAAGATATTTAACATCAAACTTGAAAAATTATTTTAACATTTACTGTAAATGACAGGTGAATTTGTAAACGTGGCAATAGCGCGCTTGTTAAATACTACAGCTTGTCTGCTACTTTTGGCGCGAAATTTTAAAGACGGCCATACGCCAAACTTGCGACGTTGCCACGATCGTTTTTGCATGCGAGAGGTTATGAATATACTTTGAGAACATCTGTGTGTCAAACTGTACGTCGGCAAAAGTTTTTCGGAAACTCGCATTCATAATCGTTTCATAAGTACAGTCAACGGATACAAACTTTTGACAGTGACCAGTCGCGCGACAAATACCTTAATTTCGGCGATGAATTTTGCTATTTATAAAGATAATTGAAATCTTGACAAGAATTTTATAAAACTTTTTGAAAATAATTGAATTTTGCAAAGAATTTTATTAAAGTTCCTAAAAATAATTCTGAATTTTAGTGAAGAATTTAAATATTCATCAAGATAATTCAATTCTTTCGAAGAAGTTTATTAAAATTTTTGATAGAATATTAATTAATATATTAATAAATACAACTAATTTCAACAGAATTGAAATTAAAATTGTTCAAAAAAACCAGTTCTCAGAATTGTTAATTAAAAGTATGAAAAATTCAGATTTTCCAAAAGATTTTAATTTGAAATCTTTTCAAAACTCAATTATTTCTACAAAATTGCAATAATTTGTAAATTCTCAAAAATTCAAATCTTTTTTAGAGTTTTTAAATAAAATTCTTCTCTAACTCAATTCTTTTTAATAATTAAATATTGTTAAAAAATCAACTAATTTCAAAAGAATTTGAATTAAAATTTTTTAAAAAACTAAGTTTTTAAAATTTTTTTATTAGGGGAGAATGAGGTAGCCCCAAATACTTAAGCTTTCAGGTGAATAATTTGTGTTCATACATATTATTGGAATATTAATTAAATTTTGCTATATCAAACAGAAAGCTTCTTTCAACCTTTAACATAAATTCATTTGTAAACTAATAAATTGAAAAATCAATTAATTTTCACAGAAAGTCAATATAAAATAAGGTTTTATAAGACGTTCAATGTGACGTACGTATACATTTTTTAAAGTGTCCGGAAACTTTCTATATATTATTGGGATTAAGCTTTCTGTCTATAATTTCAATTAAACAAAAATAATCTAAAATTATTTTTCTATTTCATTTAAGTATAATGTTTTCTCAGTGGATTCATTCAAATATGAAATTTTCTAAAATTTCAAAGTGAAACCTTTTGAAGTTCATTTATTTATGAAAATTGCAAGAGCAAGTCTTATAAAATTCAATTAGTTTTTAAATATTTAAGTAAAATTATCATTAAAAATTTATAAGCAATAATTTTATCATAGTTTATCTTATCATTCTACTTCTGATTTAAAATGAATTCGTTGAAAGAAAATTCGTGCCAACAAAAAAGACTAGAATTCAAAATATTCTTATGAATCTAAAAGTTTAATTTTTCTCCAATACTTTTAATAAAATTCTCTGATTTCCCTGACCTGTAGCAACCCTATTCAACTTAGACTTGCAGAACCCCTAAAATGGTTCTATTTTATGAAAATAAAATTTCATATTTTACAAAATTCAAATTAATTAATATTGAAGCAGTGCGCAAAGCGAATTTCTATTTTTTTCAAAAAAATTTCTATTGATCTGATTCGGCTGCATACATATAGAAAAAATTATTAATTCTATCTATTTTTATACAAAAAAAAACTATTAAAATCAGCTAAAATTCGTTTTCTATAAATTCTTAGGTCAATTCTTTGTGCACCGCTTTAAATATGTTTCAATTTATCTTTTACATACTGTTTTTTTTACAAAAAGCATTACTTAAGCCATTCTGCAACTCAATATTTTGACTTTTTTGTTCCATTAAATTTTTAAACACCCCTAATAGTTATAGATAAATTGTCTTTATAAAAGAAAGAAAAATCTTTAATTACATACCAACAATAGATTCTTTGTAAACTTCGTCACTACCCACACTGTTGTCCAACAAGTCAATAGGGTTCTCATGACTGAGGTAAGTAGAAACTGTATCTACACTGGGTCTTCGGCCACTCTTTGTACTACTTGAATCTGCATCTAAAATTGCGTCCCATGACTTTTTCTTTTGATCACACGAAACTGAATTCTCCGAATTGTTTTCTACACCATGTTTGCTGCTAAAGATGTTGAAATTGCTTAAAATTACTTTAGCAATGTTTGTTGGACCCGTTTCATTTTTACTCTAAAAAAGAAAACAGAAATGAATAATTAAATTTTCTAATCCAGTTAATATTAAATTAATCTTCAACACCCGAGTTGATTATCTAGTGATTTTGTTATTAAATTTTGCTATAACGTTCACAAATCTAAACGATTTTCTTATCAGGAACGTTCTAAAGTAATCTTCGTAATAATGCAGTAAGACCTCTCAATTGCAAGGTTGTGAAATTGAAGTATCAAAGAATATTTAAAAACTTGGGAATAATGTTTTAAAATGAGATTCGAATATAATTAAATCGTATTTTGCTTATTAAATAACATTGCAATTAGTTGGCCTTTTTCCTGTATATCACAAAAGAATTAATTTACTTACTTTCTTATTATTTTTCTTATTACTTGAAGTCTTCTTATTGACTGTTGACTTAGAACTTCCAGACTTTGAAATAGAGGACATAAATTTCTTTTCGGTATTGATGTGTAATTCTTCCAGAGTTACTTTGACTAAGGGATAAGGTGCTTGTAAAATTCTACGAATAGACCTTACATAACCAGTGCAACATCGAACTTGAGTTAAATTACAGAAGTTTATAATATATGGGAAGCCTAAATACGTTTTAGAAACGTCTATAGTCTTATCACCCTGAAAATAAAGAAATATAACACAATATTAGTAAACGCATAAATCTATTAATTACTTATAAATATTTATTAATTATTATTTAATTAATTTCGGAATGTAAGAAAGTGGTAAATAGGCTGCAGTATTGCAGTATTTAGTGACAAAGCATAACGAATAATTTTCGAAATATTACCTTTGCCCAGGATTCTTCAATAAGACACTGTACTTCCATATCATAAGTATGCCAATCATCAGTATCGCCAGCCCATTCCCACTTAGCTCCTCTACCAGCTGGAGAACCAGGAAGATAAAATTTTCTTCTTACTTCATGGCAGTCGTCAACCTCTTCTCTACATTGCATTTTAGTTTTTAAATTTATGTAATATCTGAAAAATAACAGGGTGTAACTATATTATAAAAAATAATTGTATGAAAGACAGACTTATGGGCATATCTCTAGAACCTTTAACTTTTCAATGAGTAAAAATTTGCTAATTTTTTTTAGCACAGTACTGAAACTCTGTCTACATAAACTGTAAGAAATAAGCTTTCAAAATATGCAAGTGGACAGTAAAATGATTCGTCTTTAAAAAGTTATAAACTATTTAAAATTGCGAATTATTTTCAACATGCAACAAAAAAATATTTAACAGGTGTTTGTTTTTTAGAATCGAAAACAGTTGAAAGTAATTAACTAAGGGGTTATAATTTATAATAATAATTATATTATTATATAATATATTACTTTTATATTTATTATATTATTACTAGTCATTAACATTACTTTTATTTTTTGTTTGAATTACAGTACCGTCCGAAATTGTCAGTCCGCCCATTTTTAAAGGAATGAAAAAATTTTTTTAACATAAAATTTATAAAAACTAAAATTTTTTTTGTTTTATATTTTGAAAGACGATAAAATTTTGAAAAGAATAAGACCTTACAGAAGTCATTTGGCCAAAATTTGTAGAAGATATTCTTAAAAATCGTCATTTTCAATGTTTTACAAAAATTTGAAAAACTTCTAAAATAATGAACGCTTTTTAATAATCTTAGGTTTATTTTAAAGGTCATTTTCTACGGAATAAGAATTACTTATAGGCATTAACCTGTAATTTTTTACTTGGAATAAGCATGACGTCAAAGTTGGACAAAAAAATTCAAAAATTTGAAATAATATTATTAAAAGAAAAATAATTTTTGAAATTCAAACATATAAGATTCTAAAAAAGCGTTTATTATTTTAGAAGTTATTAAAAATTTTGTAAAACATGGAAAATTACAATTTTTTAAGAATATCTTCTACAAATTTTGGCCAATCGAAAAGTTCCAAGAAAAAAGTTCCAAAATGAAAATATCCAAAATTTATTTTTCCACAGTACAAAAGTTCCAAAATCCAAAATGTCCAAAATATAAATTTACCAAAGTATAAAATTTCCAAAGTAAAAATTTCCAAAATAAAAAGTGTTGTTTGAAAAAATAATGTTAAAAATGTAAATTGTATCCGATGGCCCTTAGATATCCGAAAATGTCATTATTATCCACGTAATTTTGAAAATTTAAAACTATATTAAAAATCCTGTCTTCGGCGATTACGGTGCGAGCATCACGCGACTTTTTAATTTTTTGGCCCAGGGAAAGCTGTCTCAACATTGTTTCGGTATCTGCTTGTTCTTTTCGCATTTCAGCAAAAAACGCATATAAGCTTGGGTGGTTACGCCCAGTAACCACTCTGAAACGATTATGCCACCCTTCCGAAGCATTGTTGGTCCGTGACATATTTTGGAGAACAGATTCGTAGTGGTTCCAAATCTTTGGATGGTACCGTACAGCTAATGCTCTTCTTCTTCCTCTAGCTGCTTTACCGCGAACATAAGTAACCTATAATGTTAGTTAATTTTAGTAATATTACTTATTTTTAGTAGGTTAGTCATCGAAAGGTATCTTCGCTGCATTAACAATTCCCAGTTCGAAATCCGACATTATTAACTGTGGCTTAATGAAGTGATTTTCATGTCGTTGAATTTCATCTCGCGCGATTTTAAACACTTTTAAGTACCCTTCCTGCTCTTTACCTTCGAGAAGAGCGTACAGTAAAGGGAGAGCAAAAGTTTCTTCGATGCCTTTTTTTACTTGAGTTACTGACCCCATTATGACGAATAACTGAAAAAAAATTGGCAGACATGTCTTAAACGTTCCGTCCACGTACCACACCTTAGATTTGGAAAGAGTACATTGTTGTTCGAAATTTGTCCGGGATTTCTCCTAACTCGTTAACGTTTTGAGGGTTTGCAGGCATATCCCTTAAACGCTCGCGCTGAATACGTTTTCTAATATTCATACGATCCGGCAGTTCCGCCAAAATTGATGATGGAACATTGTTCAAGCGACGCATAATTTGAGCTGGCGGTGCTTCTAGATGTTCAGTCGCTGTCCTCTTCATATCGGCAATAACCTTCAACGCATCTACCTCTTCTCGATTTGGAGCATGCTCGTGACCTTCTGGTTTACAGTTTTTACGTATAGTTATAGCAGGGATCACAGTACCTATTATCATGAAAAAAGGTGAAAAGGTACAATTTTTTTCGAAAATAGGTAACAAATAGGTAACAATAAAAGTACTGTAAAACATGAATAAACATGTAATTTAAGGTTTATTAACATTTTTATTGTTAAAAGAAAGTATTTTTTTCAAATATCTAAATATATAATTACAAATTTTAAAGTATTTTTTTCAAATGTCTAAATATATAATTATAAATTTTAAAGTATTTTTTTTCAAATATCTAAATATATAATTATAAATTTTATAAATTTGTAAAATATATATAATCAAAATTTACTCCAAATATATTTATTTCAGGGTTGCCACAAAACATAGATTTTAAAATTCCATGACTTTTCCAGGTTTTCCAGATCATTTCTTTAAAAATTCCAGACCCAAAAGTGAAATCGTTTTGATAAATTTTTTTCTAATTACGACAAAAAGTTTAAAAATCTCCAAGTAAATTATAAATAACATAAGTTATTATTTTTTAATTTTATGAATAATTGAAATTAAGATTAAACTTTGCTAGATTATTTGTGACACACTCCAAAGAAAAGTCCTATGAAAACCTTAGAAGCAAATCGTTGTTTGTGTTATTTTCAACTTAATTAAAAGTAAAAAATTAAAAGTTATTGTTTAATTTTGTAAAACCAAATTTAATTTTAATTTATTATGTTAGTTGTAATGAAGATTTTAATATCAGTTTTTTATATTGAGAGTTAATCCCCTTTGTGTAATTTCATTCAAAAAATTACAACCATAACCTACAATCTTTTGCTTCTAAAGTATCTTTCTTCAGAGCGCATCACACTTACATAGTTTAAAGTAAACGAAAAAATATAGATAAAAATAATAAGAATTTAAAAATTTATTTTTGTTCAGAATTTTTCACAATTAAACGAGTATTTTAATCATTTTAATAACATTTTGAGTTTCTACAGGGCGTCCGCTGAAAATATGAAATAAAATTCCCGTATATTTCCCACATTTTTTACAAAATTCCCGTACATAAAATATAAGGGTTTATACAATATTGTATATAAAAGGTAAAGTATTAAGAAAAAGTAATAGAATTTTAAATGTTTATTTTTTTATTATTTAAATAACATTTAATCAGTATTAATATTTTTATAGTACATACTGGGGTCACAAAGTTTCAGTACATTTGGACTGATTACATTTGAATGCTCGCTTCACTTCAAATTCAAATATTTTAGTAAAAATGGGTGTAACAGATATCAAGCCAATTTGAGATATAACAGATATAACCAATTTAATCATGTCAAAATTAAAATATAATTAATTAAAGTTAAATAAATAATATTTTTAAGCTTTGACAATTGTACAATATGAAGTATTAATTATATTCTTTAATTCTAGACCAAAATTATTCACAAATATTAAGTATTTTCTTCAAATTCTATAAAAATAAATTTTCTTGCTCTAAATTTTTCGCAGAATATAAATTGCAAATTTGTCGATTCTATTCATTCATTTGTTTTATTAATTAACCACACTTTTGAAAAATATAGAACCTCTTGATTGTAGGGAATTTAAGATAATTATTTATTATTAATTGTTATAATGTTACAAATTTTAACTGTGTTATTGTTACTTATTTCATTTCTATGTAACATCCTTCTTGTTTTACAATAAATAAGAGATAAATGTTTTTCAAAAATGTGGTTAATTGATAAAACAAGTGAACGGAAAAGGCGAATTTGCAATTTATATACTGTGAAAAATTTAGAGCAAGAGAAGTTATTTTTACAGAATTTGAAAAAAATACTTAATATTTGTGAATGATTTTGGTCTAGAATTAAAAATGGAATTTATACTTCATATTGTACAACTGTCAAAGCTTAAAAATATTATTTATTTAACTTTAATTAATTATATTTTAATTTTGACATGATTAAATTGGTTATATCTGTTATATCTCAAATTGGTTTGATATCTGTTACACCCATTTTTACTAAAATATTTGAATTTGAAGTGAAGTGAGCATTCAAATGTACTGAAACTTTGTGACCCCAGTACATATTTTTTAAATTCAAACAACGAAATATAAAATTATTTTAAATATATATCAAACAAAATTATTTTTTTAAGTCTTTTTTTTACTTTGAAATTCTACTTCAAGCAATTATATTGTGGACTCAACCTCAATTATATACTTTTAGGTGCTTGCACATTTCCAAATTTTTTCATTATTACGACCATTTTATAAGTAAAAAATCCCGTTGAACAAAATAATTCCCGTACATTTCCCGTACAATTCCCGCATTTCCCGCTTTTTCCCTGTATCTAAAATGCATTGAAAAATATTAATTTTAAAATTATGCAAAGGAAAATATTGACCAGAAGAAACTAAACTTTAGAAACGATTTAGATTTTAACTGTAAGCACTAAATTTAAAATCAAAAAGATATTGTACAATAACAACTTAAAACTTGAGATTTTGAATATTCAAATAGAAAAAATTGAATTTTCAGAATAAGAATTTATAAAATTCCCTGACAATTCAAGGTTTTCCAGGTCTGTGGCAACCCTGTATTTCTTTGATGACGATCTCTTTAGCATGATTTTTTACTGATTTTGCATTGATTCTGAATTTTTGGCAAAAAATGTAAAATTACATCGTCCAACGGGGGAAAAAGTGACCACACGTCCAACCGATTAATTAATGCTTTATTTTAATGCTTATTAAATAAGGGTTAATTTTATGTAAGAAAAAAGATATTCAAACGCAGAAAAATAATTATGAAATAAAAAATAATTTTTAAAACTTACTGTGATAACTTAAAATAGGTAAAAAAGGTAACAAATAATCAAAAT